CTGAACCAATTGTACCAAAGATCCCAATTGATTACTCATGGGCTCAAGAACTTGGTCTTATCCGAAAACCTGCTGCTTTCATCTCTACCATTTCTGATGATCGTGGACAAGAACTTTTGTATGCCGGTATGCCAATTTCTGATGTCTTCAAGGAGGATATCGGAATTGGTGGTGTCATGTCTCTTTTGTGGTTCCGTCGCCGTCTCCCAGATTACGCAAGCAAGTTCCTCGAAATGGTTCTCATGCTTACTGCCGATCATGGTCCAGCCGTTTCTGGTGCCATGAACACTATCATTACTACCAGAGCCGGAAAGGATCTTATCTCTGCTCTCGTTTCTGGTCTTTTGACTATCGGATCTAGATTCGGTGGTGCTCTTGATGGTGCCGCTGAGGAGTTCACCAAAGCTTTCGACAAGGGTCTTTCCCCACGTGATTTCGTCGACACCATGAGAAAGCAAAACAAGCTTATCCCAGGTATTGGACACAAGGTCAAGTCAAGAAACAACCCAGATCTCCGTGTCGAGCTCGTCAAGGAGTTCGTGAAGAAGCGTTTTCCAAGTTGTAAGATGCTTGACTATGCTTTGGCTGTTGAGTCTGTTACCACCTCCAAGAAGGATAACTTGATCTTGAACGTTGATGGTGCTGTTGCCGTCTGCTTCGTTGATTTAATGCGCAACTGTGGTGCGTTCAGTGCAGAGGAAGCTGAAGACTACATGAAGATGGGTGTCTTGAACGGTCTCTTCGTTCTTGGTCGTTCTATTGGTTTGATTGCTCATTACCTTGATCAAAAGAGATTGCGCACTGGTCTTTACAGACATCCTTGGGATGATATTACATACCTTTTGCCATCTTTGTCATCAGGTGCGCCTGGTTCTGAGGGTCGTGTTGAGGTTCAGATGTAAGATTGAGGTTAACCAGGAGACATTTTTGTAAACGTGGATGAATTCGAAGAGTGGAAGTTATAGAGCATGCTTCCTACTTCCTACAAGGAATACTTATTTTTTTCTGATCCAAAACATGCTGGATGAATGGAGTTTTTAAGATCAATCATGTAGTAGGTGAAGAATTGCTATAGAGCAAGAATTTTTTAATGGAAATGAAATTAAAATGATGAATCAATGAGGTGTTTTAGAGTACGTATATGTTATTTTTTATGTTGTAGAGGCCAGACCACCATGTTTATTTCTTGTGGTTATACCCAAGCTAGAAGGTTCAATACAATAAAGTTCAAGCTGTGATCAAGTAGAAATAGATGTTTAATTTGATAACCTGTCCATGTTCAATATCTATAGCTCATGCATCATCATCCTGATATTAGGTGTCGATACACATGAACTCAAACTCGCTTTATCATAGAACAAAAAGAAATAATGAAATCCCCAACGCCCGCCCATATCCCATGCGCATTTATCGTTTATCCTTCCATCCCTTTCGTGTATGTCCTGTTTGAAAGATCATCGCAAATCGTCGCAAATCGTGCTATAGCGTACACTCCATTTCTCGTAATTCCTTCTATCCCCTCTCCCAGATTGGAGATTTCTCTTTTCTTTTCCCCCTCTCCCTTCCTCGATGATATGTCCCCGCCTCTCTATTTCCTCGATTCACATATCGATCTCTCCCAAAAGATATCCACATCTTATCATTTCAATTACACCACATCCCCTCCAATAATTCCTTTCGCACCCATCAATTCATCCACATACGCTCTTTCTACCGCTTTATTTTTCTTTTCTTCTTCTTTGAGGAGAACGGCGAGGACTTCAAGGGGTGGATTTAAACCGAGTCTGGAGGCGCGGTGCCAGCGTTTGGTGCGGGGGATACCGATGGCGGGCTGGGAGGTGAGGTTGTTAGATATTGTGGTTGTTATTGTAGTTTTGGGGAAGGGATGGAGGAGAGTGGAAGGGGGAAAGGGGGAAGAAAGAAGGGGGATATGGAAATACGGGAAGTGATAGGGGCATAAGGCTCAAGGTTATACATACACCAAATTGACTCATACAATCCCATTCCCTCAATATCTTCTCGCTAATTTCTAAATCTTTTTGATGTACTCGAGGCGCTAAACGCAGATCCTCGCGCGCTTTCCAGTATTTGCGTATTTTAGCGTCGGTGATTTGCGATGCGAGGGTGGTTTGGAGGATTTGATGGGCGGTTTGGGCTTTGGGTTTGGGTTGGGAGGATGATTTTGGAGAGGTGGTTGGGAGGGTGGTGGGTTTGAGGTCTGGGGATGCGGGGGAGAGGGAGGGGACCTTGGTAAGCTCGGTAACGTCTGGGAGCTTGGTGAGGGAAGATTTGGCTTTGAGTGTGGTGGGGGTGGCCGCTTTGGTGATCTTGGAGGTGTTGGTGAAAGAGAGAGTTTTTTGAGTGCCTTTTTGGGCGGGCCCGCTGCTGCGACGGGTGGTGGGCATGATTGTTGTTGTGATTATTGACTGGATAGCGGATTTAGTTTTTAGATGATGAGGTAGTAGTATGAGTATGTGTGATGGGTCATGTGGGGATAGATTGATGTTGATGGTATCGTATATGCTAAATCTATACTGATGCTAGATAATTTAAAGTATGACGATGGTACTCAAGTGGTTTGGCAGGGCAACATGTGGATTAGGTAAGCACAGGAACCAAAGTCTTCACTAGTGAGAATTTGGGGAATGGTCTGAGCGTCTTTGAAACTCTTGCGAGTTGATTTCTGTTGGGAGAAGAGGGAGATTGATGCTTGAATGTCTGAATGGGGCTTGATATTTTGTTGTGTTTTTATGCTTTTGGTTTTATTTCTTGTGGTTTTTTTATTATCTGATTTATTGCTGGATAGAAATTTCTTTGCGTGTACTTGTTGAAGTATTTTTAAAGTATGGAAGGGATGAACCAAATGGATTCCTTGCGATGTCGCTGGTGAAGTTTGATAGTCTGTAACCCGTAGTTGTCAGAAAGCTCTAGACTGACTACCAAGTAACTAGAACGTACCAAGGTCCGAGACTGGCTAGCAGGAACATGTGATATTTGCAGTGCTTCTATTGCGAATAGCTTCGATATTACTTCAAGAAGCTAGCAGGTCCAATTTGTTCTCAAAGACACAGCTGTTCCCTTGTTTTTGTAAATGCGGCATTCCATTACATGCTAGGGTCCAACTTGCTTGATAAAAGCAGCAGGACTTCTTAGGTGTGGAGGGGTAGCAAAAAGTATTGCATGATCCTTCTTGATTGTTTGTCAAATGGACTGATTATAATGCATTTCCAAATTCCTCTGATGATGATGATGGAAATTTCTATGTTGTATTGCATTATCTGGATTCTGCGAGAATATGCACATGCAGGCAGAATAAAGTACAACCGGGGTTTCTATCAATTTCAGATAAAGAACATTGCTATCTTATCTTTTCGACGCGGCTCTTTTCCTACCTGATCAGAAGAAATTGAGAGAACGAGGAAGGGGTAGAATGTGTAGGATGGGTTGTTGACACATGGAAGCTAGGATTCTACGGACGGGAACCCGAGTTAGCATTGGGTGCTTGAAATCGGCAATCGGCCGTCATACATGCTATGGTCATGATCACATGCTACTCTTTCATCAAGCCGAAGGATTCGATGTAGCTATTTCGATTGTGGAGAAAATATTAGCGCGGATGAAGGTACAGTATAGTCCCGTTGAAAATATAGTTTGACATGTTGATGATGCTATGCCGGTCGATCTTTTACTCTTATCCCCTTTGAGGAAACAACATCAGTTTTCTCTCGATGGCTCGAATTGTCTATTTACTCCTTCCTTTTTCTAACTCTCTTATCATAATATTATGGCCTTGTTATATACTACCGGTAGAACACTTGTGTATGGCAGGATACCAGTTCCTCTTCCTGTTCTGCCTTCTCTTTTCATCAGTTGGAAGATATGCTAAGATCATTAGTATCATGGGCATCGTTATTCCTTACGGGTTTGACGAGTTGACGTTAATGAATTGACGGTGTTTCTTTCCATGGGATTCCTAATCCTTCTGTAATTATTCATTTACCAATGGTCTCCAGTATTAAGAGCGTAGCAAGGCGCATACATATTTTAGTTACAGGTTCACTTTGGGAAGGAAACTACGTCGATAAGGTCAAGACGTAACAGTGAGCGTATTGGAAACTGATGCTTGTATATGGGTATCTCAAATTGTCAACCGTAAAGGTGAGTTGAATTGATGAACAAGATTATGTCATTGTCGGTGACACATCAAGACTGAGGGGAGTCTGGGAAAGGGGATTGCTCGAGGCTTCGATGGAGATTATAGTACATGAATAACTAAACTACGTCAATATAATATTCAACGTTGCAGAAAGATGATAATCACATGTGCTTGTACCAATTTTGGTGACGGTCTAGAACATAATTCGTTCGACCTATGTTAAACTTCCCGGCGAGCTTTGGTAGCATTCCTAAAGAACGGCCTAAGCTAAAGTGTAATTTTTTACAGCGACTCAATTCAGATGTGCAACAAAACGATAATTGTATAGTTCACCACGTGAGCGGTGTAAACAGAGCCACCCACCTTTATCAAATTCTGCTGATCACGTCTTCCTTGTTAGTATTAGCGGGAACGTCGTGATCAGTTTACAGAGTTGTGATTTCATTTCGCTTTTGAAAAGTTGTAGTGTCAGTGAATACTCATTTATCGTTGGATATCACAGTATAGTTATTGTTGTATTCTTCTTATTTTCTCAAGGAGCAATGATGTTCAAGAGTTTGAATATGGTTTATGAGCTGGCCCGGCTTCTCAGGAAAGGATGCACGAGCAACCTAATGGGGTGTTGAGTTACACTGATGATGAGGGGCAGGTTCAATACACTCACTCATTTGCTAACGGGTAAATGATTTGAAAATCATTGATCCAAAGTCGGGTATGTTGATGATGACACATGCCAGTGCATCTAGCATATTATATTGATGTTTTCAACAACACGTTTTCCTTAATCTTTGTCTTCATAACAGTCGTCTTTCGAAAAATGTTGATCCTACGAGTTGCGTTAATTATGGTAACCTTGGGTTTCGCCAGAGCATCTTCTTCAAGTGAATGTGTAAGTTAGTGTCCATCAACTACTTGGTTGTAGAATTGACTGGGTTTCTCAGTGTGCTGTGTTCGAATCCGATATCACGGCTGCACCGAATAGCAAAGCTTATAATTCCACCATCTACGGATTTTGGTCGGGTCAAGCACGCGACGATAAACCAACTTGTGTTGTACAACCTACTACTAGAGAACATGTGGCTGCAGTGGTGAGAGCTCTTACTCGATGGCAGTGCCAATTTTCGGTAAAGGGAGGCGGTCATACACCATTCGCTGGAGCGGCATCAATAAATGGTGGAGTTACCATTGATTTAGCTAAGCTTAATACTATATCGGTGGATAAAAATGTCGGTATCGCAAATATTGGCGCAGGGCTGAAGTGGGGACAGATTTATGAGTATTTGGAAAATAAGGGTATGATGGTCTCTGGTGGTAGAGCATCTCTGGTTGGAATTGGCGGCTTAGTCGTTGGAGGTAAGTTGCCTTCAGAAAAAAATACAAACCGTGGAAGTAACTTACTTGGATTTTATTGTAGGTGGTTACTCTTGGTTTGCGCCCCAAAAAGGTTTCGTAGCGGATACTGTTATCAACTTCGAGCTTGTGATTGGAAATGGTTCAATTATCAATGTAAATGCCACTTCGAATTCAGATCTTTTCGTCGCATTGAAAGGAGGAGGTAACAATTTTGGTATCGTAACTCGCTACGACCTGGAGTCATTCCCTTTCGAAAAGTTATGGGGAGGAATCATGGTCTATCCAGACAGCACGGCGAAAGCCCAAATCAATTTTTTCACCAATTTCACCAATCATATATCGGATGATCCAAAAGCCAATTTGCTTAATATTTAGTCCTATCGACAAGTTTCTGGTACACAGAGTATCCTTAATGTTATTGATTATGTCGCGCCAATTGTAGCTCCACCTATTTACTCCGATGCACTGGCGATTCCGGGTTTAATATCTAGCACAATGCGAATCACAAATGTGAGTTCATTGACTGATGAGCTTGCTGGTGGTACCTCGACTCTGAATTCTAGGTATATTTTTGTCACTACGACCTTTTCGAACAGTGCGGAAATGTACGAAAGAGCCGTGAATATCTCGAACAAAACTTGGAACCTCTCAAAGATATTACGGGGTTTGTTTGGTCCATTCTCTTTCAACCTATTCCACTTATCGTCAGCGAACATTCAATAGCAAATGGTGGAAACATTATGGGTGTGGATCGGAATAAAGACAATTTGACACTCTTTTTGGTCTACGTGACTTGGCTTGAAGCTTCGGATGACCAAAAGTTCACTGATGCAGCTTATGCTACGGTTGATGAGATCAATGCGGTGGCGGAGAATCTTGGAGTTACCAATCCTTTTATTTATCTCAATTATGCAGGAAGAAAGCAAAATCCATTGACGGGATATGGAGAGGAGAATATTGAAAAGATGAGATCTCTGAGTGAGAAGTATGATCCTCGAGCGACTTTTCAGATTTTGGTCAAAGGGGGATTTAAAATTCCGGGTATGGAAATCGTTATGGACTAGGAAGTTGGTGCTCTAGAAAATGTATGGACGGAAGTGTCAGTTTTGTTGTACTAACTTCTGACTTTTGGTTCTCATCTCCATAGAACTTCTTTTCACCGTTTTCCGCCGTTGAGTGAGTCAAGATCATCTGCTCCGGTCGGCGACACTGCATCCGTTTGTTCCGCAGCCGGTTTAATAACAAAGCCAAGGTATCTTGATATGGTCGGCGACATTGCATACTGTATATTCAACGGCTAGTACAATGTGCGTTGTGGTTGCAGGGAATCATTATAACATGCACCCCAGTCTTAGGATTCTCATATCACTACAAAAACAACGTTAATGATTTTAGCCGCCATGAAGAACGACCATCGTAAGTAACAAAAAAGGAACGGAGCCAATCAATCCGACGACTTTGACAAATTTTTCCTCCAAGATCGCCGTAACCGGAATCAACTTAATTGATTTAGGGGACCTTTCTGAAGTTTCTCATGAGTTCACGTGGTCATTTGTTAGTATCTTGTTGTCTATGTATGTATCTATACCTTATTTTTCCGAGTTATTACTTACGTCAAGGCTCTATTGAATGCCATATCGGCGAAGTATCTTTGGTAGTCAATGGTATGGTAGTAGCTTACCATGCTTACTACTTCATAGTTTCTCTCGGGGACCTCGCTAAGCCTTAGCAAGTTGAAGATTAGAACCAGTAAGGCGGCTTAGTATAAATGCACGATCGTTATTTTTGCCCCACCTTTACCAATTCTTCAATCCCCAATTCCCAGGAAAGTATTCAGTGGCTCGAGTGGTACTCAATTACCCCACCAAATGCTTCGCGCTTACATTGTTCCCACAGGAATCGGGGACCTGCAGATAAATGTTGGAATATAACTGTTGCCTGACTTCATATATAATTCTTAATGTACTATAAGGTTTGTATTCTCCGATCGGCGAATTCTCCATAGTAAGTTTTATACTAAGGTCGCTTCGCATTTCGGACGTTTCTTTGTGTTGCGATATCGTACGGTATCACCGTGTCAGAGCTGGAATACTTTGGCTTATGTTGTTGTCAGACAGGCTGAATAATACCTAGCTAAGTTTGGAATTTTAAGTTTTGTATCACACACAATTGACTGTGCAGTCATTAGTATCGGAAGGGTAAATATGGAATATAAAAGCTGTACACCCTACATGGGAGAAAGGTCTCAATGTGCTTCAAACACAGGGTCGAATCAAACTCATTGGCAAAAATCGAAGTCCCACAACATAGTTTCAAATATTCCTCTGAGTCAATTTAATAATCAATTCCGAGATACAAACCCTTTTACTTCTCCATTCGATTCTCCTCGACGAACAGCATTTGAAGATCGACAAGATTTCGAAGAACCAAGTTCCATCAAGACTCGGAACGATCATTCAACTAGGAATCGGGGACTTCAGAATTCAACACTCGAGAATTTTGAATCACTCGGAATCGCCATACCTCTTCACAGACACTTGGACAAATTCGAGCTTGAGTCGAATCACACTATGACAGATACGACCAGCAGCACACTTTCACAAGTTTCGGGGAAAGCTGAGCAAGATTATGATATGGAACATCGTACTCAATTCATGACCGACGTTGAACTATCGGCTGTTGATGATACTCATTTGAAAAATACTACTGTTCGGAATTTTGTATGGAAAGATGTGACGGTTACTGTGAAGGATAATAAAACAAAAGAATCAAAAGCAATTCTAGATGATGTTAGTGGTGTTGTTGAAGCTGGTGAGTATTTTTATTTTGGAAGGTTGGCTCAGAAATGGTAGAGTGCTAATTTATTTGTAGGAGAGATATGTGCATTGATGGGACCAAGTGGTTGTGGAAAAACTACTCTGTTGAATGTTTTGGCTCATAGAAATGCCGCCGCGAAAGCGGTTGTAACGGGGAAGACATTGGTCAATGGATCAAGTCCGTCTAAGAGTGTTTTTCGAGATATGAGTTCATATGTTGAACAAGAGGACGCTCTCATAGGCTCCTTGACAGTACAAGAAACATTGAATTTTGCGGCTCGTCTTGCTCATAAAAGGTATGACTGTTAGCTTCCGGTTTATATTTTTACGAAATAACTCTTCTCCAGTTCATTGACGAAAAGTGAGCGAATGAGACGAATCAGAGGCTTGATAAATTCTTTCGGTCTTCGTGATCAGGCACACACCATTATTGGAACGCCAATTCAGACAGGTATTAGTGGTGGACAAAAACGACGAGTTAGTGTTGCCAGTCAACTCATTACTGGACCGAAAATTCTTTTCTTGGATGAACCTACATCTGGGTTGGATTCTGCAGCAAGTTGGGAAGTGATGTCTTTTGTTAAAGAGGTTGCGAAACAAAACAATGTTAGTTATTACCTCTATCATTAAAGATTTATATTGACTTGATCATCTAGTTGATTGTTATAGCAAGCATTCATCAACCTTCTACCTCTACATTTCAATTATTCGATAAGTTATTATTACTATCCGGTGGAAAATCTCATTACTTTGGTCCTGTCTCAGAAGTCAATCAACATTTCGAATCCATAGGTTATCCAATCCCACTTCACATGAATGCTTCGGAATACCTTCTTGATCTCATGAATACCGACTTTGCAATCAATCAATCACAATCACAGGCAAGACTACGACAAATTTATCAATCTTGGTTGATTTCGTCTACTTTTCGACAAATGCATGATAAGATTCAGCATACACTGCAACATGTCAAGCCTTTACCCGTTGCCAATTCCTCGCGCGGTGGATTTTTCAATATATTGATGACATTGGTACACAGAGCATTTATCAAGAGTTACCGAGATGTGGTCGCGTATGGTATTCGTATTGCAATGTATATGGGGCTTGCTATTATGATGGGTACGGTTTGGTTACGTCTTAAAACGGATCAAAGTGAAATTCAACCTTTCATTAATGCTATCGTGAGTACTATATTTTTTTTCAGGGAATCCATTTTATGACTAACGTGTTTTAGTTCTTTGGCTCAGCTTTCATGTCTTTTATGGCTGTTGCTTATGTTCCATCGTTTCTCGAAGATCGTTCTACATTCATCAAAGAACGAGCAAATGGTCTCTATGGTCCTACAGCATTCATGCTCTCGAACTTTCTTATTGGCTTACCATATTTATGTATGTCCATAATTGTGTTTTCCAAAGCTCAACTAACATTATATTCAGTCTTGATATCATTTCTCTTCTCGGTAACGACATATTTCCTCAACAACTTCCGACCTACAGCTCCCGCTTTTTTCACATGGATAATGTGGTTGTTTCTCGATCTTCTTGCTGCCGAATCACTTGTCGTTCTTATATCCTCCTTATTCCCTTCATTTGTGATATCCCTTGCTCTTACTGCTTTTGCAAATGGACTATGGATGAGTGTCGGTGGTTTCTTGGTACCTCCACAAATTCTTAATGTGTTTTGGAGATATGTATTTCATTACATTGATTATCAGGTATGTTTTCTATTCTTCAATCTCTAATCTCCTTTCCAGAGACTTTGTACCACTCGTGTTCATGATACGAAAGTATTACTAATACATACCAATAGACATACGTATTCCAAGGAATGATGGTCAATGAGTTCTCAGAAAGAGAATACACTTGCGGAACTTCCTGTCAATGCATGTACATCACCGATCTTGCACCTCAATGTAAAATTGGTGGTAAAGGAGTTTTAGATCAATAGTAAGTCTCTCTCTCTCCTTCCTTCAAGATCTAGATTTTCATTAGAATTTCCCTAACGAAGTACAGTGGTTACAAGACCGGCAACACTGGTGAATGGGTAGGTATTTTGATTGCAATTATTTTTGTATATAGGATTTTGGGCTTGGGTGCTATGTATTTTAGACGATAAATCACTCTTGGGTGAATGGATGGACAAGAATGGAAAGAATTTGGAATTTGGGGACGTAAAAGTGGCTTGGATGTTACTCGATTGGGATGAAGTACCAGAACGCGGCACGGGTGGTGGCAGCTTTGGGAAGTGTGGTGATCAGGTATTGTGCGGACACAGTGTTGTACAATGATAAGTGTGAGAGATTGTTTGTATGGTATATCCTTGGGTTTCGAGTATTATTTTGTTTGGTGTTCATTTTCTTATGTATATATTTCTTGACTTTATACCTATATGACGCGAGACTGCATATATTTCTCCTCTCCTTGACAACGATTCTTTCAATTCGGTAGACCAAATAGTGATGTTGTGATCTTGTAAGGGGGTAAGCTATGGAAATCCAAAAGCATGGCATGAGACGCTTAATCAGTGATCACTGATCATAATCTCACTTTCACCAATTTTGGAACTTACCATCTTCTCACATACACATTCATTACTATTCACCCATCTACTCACAAACATTCAGCCAGACGTTACAGTACACTCGAGCCTCCACCACATCATCTTATCTCTTCACTCGTCTCTCACCAAGCAAGCCATCTCCTCATCACATCACCCCACGGCATCACCACATCCATTCATCAATCCATATGGTGCATATATACCCCAAATATTAATCTACACATCATATATCTTAACACAGCATATAGGAACTTTATCTGGATTCAGCCGGCTCGAGTATATGTTACACAAGTCATACGAGTAGTACAGGCCGAGTACAGAGTGACAGAGTATTTCGTTTTGACTCTTGTTTTTGACTGCGACTATGGGGTTGTACTGTTGGTTTGTTTTCTTCCGAGGGTGTACGGAAGGGATGGGAGGGTGGTTGTGTTTTGGATGGGAAAGGTAAGGTAGGTAGGTATGAGGAGAGATTGTGATGAATGAAGATACCGTAGGCTCAATATAACTGATGAGATGATAGACGATGAACGATAAAGATTGTGGTGAAGTCATCGATGACTGTTGAAGACTTTGATTGCACAACATTTCGTAAAACTGCATGTACTCACTCACCTTTTGGTAAGAACAAATACGTTCCAAGTACATACCTCATGCCGTACGACCCCGAATCATACGACTCTCAACCACAA